ACACTAAACCTACTCACCATACAAAACATCCATACTTATTACTGCACCTATTACATACATAGAACACTTAACTCTGATATTAACCCTCCCCTCAAACATCTCCTTGCCAACCTCAACAGAACACATGACCATAACACAAGGCACAGATCACTCTTTGATGTTCCTCGTGTCCATCTCACACTATGCAAAAACTCAATGCACATAAAAGGCCCTAAAATCTGGAATTCATTACCTGTAAATATAAAAGAAACACTACCTGTTTATAAATTTAAGTCTCTTCTCAAAGATCACTTACTCACCCAAAACCAAATAAATACTTAATAACTGAACCTTATAAATTGTGTATCTTAAATGTTTCTCACAATTATATCACATAAATGTTAAACCTAAAACCCAATCTAACTTTATTATTTTTTAAATACACTACCTAACAGAATACTCCATACGACTGAATGTACAACAATGCATGCAACCATATGACCTGTCTTTGTAATACTCACTTGTGCTTTATAGTAATCTGTTTACATTAATGTTTTATCACTGATTTCACCATTGCTTAGTTAATCTTAAGTTAATTTTAAGCCAGCCCGTAATGCTATGCATAGTATAAGTGGCTTTGGCATGCTGCTCTTATCTGTATTTTTTTGTACCTCTGTATGTGTGCTCAAATTGTTAATAAATAAATAAATAAATAAATAAATGAAGATCTGGTGATGATTGATGGGATGGGAGGAAGGGAGAGTGTCGAACTTATTGTTTAGAAGGGGAATCCCCTTCCATTAGGATTTTTTGGTCCGAACTGGCAGCCTCACCATGCCTAATCACACTATGTATGCCACTACGATTATTAAATCTTTCAAACCAACCTTTGCTGGCCTTAAATTCACTCACATCACCACTAATTGCAGGCAATTTCTTTACCAAATCGTCATGCAACTGCCTAGCCTTTTCGCAAATGATTGCTTGAGAGATGCTGTCTCCTGCTATCTGTTTTTCATTTATCCACACCAATAACAGTCTCTCAACATCTTCTAACACTTGCGGTCACTGTTTCGTAATCACAGTTGGACCTTTTGCAACAACAGCTTCCTTGATTGCCGTTTTTCGTCACTATAGTGGCGATGGTTGATTGGGGTTTTGTATACAACCTGGCCAGCTCCGACACACACACTCCACTTTCGTACTTTGCAATTATCTCTTTCTTCATTTCAATAGTCATTAGCACCCTTTTTCTCGAAGGGTTGGCACTAGAAGCTTTCTTGGGGCCCATGGTGACTTATTTTGCAGAAACAAGCACCAAAAACACTGTGATAATATGGATTGTACCGAATGTATCCTTAGATGCGAGCACACTGGTTGGCTTGTAAACACTGGCACACACGGGGCAGTTCAGGCCACACGTGGACACGTCTTGGATGAATCGCATATACAGTGGACCCCCGCATAACGATATTATTTTAATCCATAAGTCTGTTTGGGTGCCGTTATAGACCGAATTTGTTCCCATAAGAAATATTGTGAATTAGATTAGTCCGTTTCAGACCCCTAAAAATACATCTACAAAAGCACTTACAAAAATACACTTACATAATTGGTCAAGTTGGGAGCTGATCGTTATGCGGGGGTCCACTGTACTGGGCTTTTTAACGGGAACCAAGGCAAAATTTTTGCATTAAAATGTATCAAATACCGGATTTATCGGATACTGATGCCATTGCAAACCGGGGGTCCACTGTATTACATTCCAGAATTGTTTCTCTTTACTTAGGGCATAGGTTATAAGACATTCTGAAAGGGTGTTGCACATGGGTTATTATCGAGGTTTTCTGATATTTCCTCGACCATTTATGGCCACATCCACCTCAAAGCTACTAAACTCGGGCTCAACATCACTTTCCTCTTAAAATGGGAGAGCTAATACTACATGAAATCAGTGAAACCCAGGTGTTTGCCCCATTGCTTGCTCTAGCTGGCACTCATTTGAACTGGTGCTCCCACAAGGTACTAAGTGGTCCCAGATTTTTTAATACAGTGCACACTGAGCATTATGACTCATTCTATGCTGACAAGGCATCTCAGGCCAATCGTGCATTATTTGAAGGCAGGAAAAATAAAATGTTTATATACACTTGGGACACTAGCAGTAAGAACGTATATATACATTTGGACCGCTTACAGGTTAATCTCACTCCAAAACTTATTCTTATTTTCAACAAAATTTGTTGATAACATCTCACCCACTCTCTCATTTCCTCTCCTTTTACATTGCTTCACCACTCTCTTAACCTCTCTTTTTCTCTCCATATACTCTTCCCTCCTTGCATCGCTTTACTTTGTAAAAACCTCTCATATGCTACCTTTTTCTCCCTTACTACCCTCTTTACATCATCATTCCACCAATCGCTCTTCTTCCCTCCCGCACCCATTTTCTTGTAACCACAAACTTCAAATGCAGAAAAGGAATATTAATACTTTGTCAAAAATCATCATCGTCAAAATCTGCCATCACAGTTGTCACGACACTTTTTGACAACTTTAAGCTTAATTTACAAAAAAAAAATCGTATTGTGTCTAATATTTTAGGATTGTGACAGTGCCCACTTGGGTAGCTTGATACAATAATGTCATACTAAAATAATGTTTTCCTTTAGAGATATAGGCAGCTGAATTCAAGATTCAATTTATGTGTGCCGTGAAAGTTCTTTGTACACTCTCCAGGTCTGCAATAGGTGGCCTGGTGGCTAAAGCTCCCGCTTCACACACAGAGGGCCCGGGTTCGATTCCCGGCAGGTGGAACCATTCCAACACACTTCCTTACACCTGTTGTCCTGTTCACCTAGCAGCAAATGGGTACCTGGGTGTTAGTCGACTAGTGTGGGTCGCATCCTGGGGGACAAGATTGAGAACCCTGATGGAAATAAGTTAGACAGTCCTCGATGACACACTGACTTTCTTGGGTTATCCTGGGTGGCTAACCCTCCGGGGCTAAAAATCCGAACGAAATCTTATCTTATCCTGTCGCCAGCCTTGAAGAGGGCTGTTAGTGTACAGCAGTATTCCACGGTAGAGAGCACAAGCGATTTGACGAGAATCATCATAAGACGTTCTCATTATCCATCCTATCATTTTCCTAGTGGATGAGATAGATATATTGTTGTGGTCTTTGAAGGCGAGATCCTCTGACATTATCACTGCCAGGTCCTTTACATTACTTTTCCGCTCTATTGTATGGTTAGAATTTGTGGTATACCCTGACACATTTTTAATTTCTTCAAGTTTTCCATATCTGAGTAGCTGAAATTTCTCCTCGTTGAACTTCATATTGTTTTGAGTGGCCCATTCGAAGATTTGGTTGATGTCCGCTTGGAATCTCGCAGTGTCTTCAATGGAGGTCCCTGCCATGGTGTGTACTGATTTTAAATAAATATTTTTTTTTTAACACTGGCTGCTGCTGACTAGTTGAGGAAGATGACTGCCTCCTCCCTCTCCTCTATCCCCCTACTCTTGTACCCTTAAAAAAGAAGAGGGGAGGAGGAGGAGGAGAGAGAGAGGAGGAGGAGAGAGAGGGAAGAGAAAGAAAAAAAGGGAAGGAAAAGAAAAATAGGGAAGGCAATAAAAGCTTTTTCAGCATATTATCTTTAACCCTTTCAGGGTCCCCAGGCCCTCTCCGAGACTTGTTCTCAGGGTCGCCCAAATTTAAAAAAAAAAAAAATACTATTTTTCTCTTATGAAAAGATAGAGAATCTTTTCCCGATCATAATGACACCAAAAGTATGAAATTTGATGGAAAACTTACGGAATTATGCTCTCACGAAGTTAGCGGTCTTGACGATGTTTACACATCGGTGATTTTGCCCACTTTGAGTCCTATTTTCGGCCAATTCCAGTGTACTAGTCGACAAAAATCATAAATATTTCGCTAGAACTCCATTTTTCTATCAAATGAGTACAAGAAACCACCCATTTACCAATTTCAACTATCCAATACGTACAGTGGTCAGAATTTAGCAATTTTGCCAATTTCACACAAATTTCAAAAGATGCCAATTTCCAAATAGGATCCAGAATAAACAAGAAAGACATTCCTGGCACTAAAATAACATTTCCTCTGTTCATTAGTCACATGCCCATGCCCCTCTTACATTCTTTTGCTTTCCACTTTGAATTTTTATTCTCACAAAAAAATAGAAGATTTACTGTTATGCAGACTACTGCATTAGTGTAGAAATGGTATAAATAATATCAGTGAACTTGTGAAAGAATATTAGACTCATCAGTTGACGTGTATTGGACGCTTAGCATGATTTGTTTACATTTGAACTTTGGTAAAAATCGAACATTTCTGCTACTTTGAGCTCAATTTCAAGGTACTTTTCATTGTAAAACCAGTCAAAATCATCTCAATTTCTGTAATATGTCTTCCATTCTATAAAATGAGACCAGGGAAACTAGAATACAACAATAAATACCATATGAAAATACAGTGCAAAGTCGCTGTTTTAATCCAAAAACACGTTCAAAGTTTTTTTTTTCTCATTATGCACTGTGTGCTGCAGGATTTTTTTATACTGCACACACTGACCACATAGACCCATTCTTTCATATGTAGGCCTACCACCTTTCTCTCACTAGATTTGAGGGCGCTAGAATTTAGGCGTACTAGTACGTCAAAAACCCTGGTGCATAAGCCGTACTAGTATGTCCGAAACCCTGAAAGGGTTAAATGTGTACACCACTTCATTACACCCATACAACTAGAGCATTCACTGTATTTTTGGAAAGGGAAAATTATTTTAATCTCTTTCAAATGCACCTACTATTTTTATTCTTGTAGCATCACATAAAATATTAGAAAGCATGATTATCTGGCATCACCCCTTTAAAAAATAAGTACATACGGTAGTTTAAAGTTATTTCATTATTCGTCCTACCATATTAAGAAATTTCCTTTATCTCTAATTTTTACATGCTCACAGACATTACGATTACTTATATCTTACAGATAGTAGATCAGTATATTCATTTTGTTGTCCATCATCATCGTCATTTTCATCATCATCCACAGGTTCAGCTTCAATCATCTCCACTTCAACATGATCTGTTGCCCCTAATTCTGGTATCTTTGTGCTAGGATCCATCTGAAAATAAAGTCTTATTAAGTAACTTTTAATGATGTTAGTATATTCATAATGGAAAAAATTTCTAACATGGGTCTTTGTCAAAAGGTGACCCACTCAGTGATGCCAACACGATGGCTGGGACATGGAAAGACTGAGTTGAAAGACTCATGAAGGTGAAGTATCTGATGACATTATGGTGGACCTCTGATTGCTTACTGAGGCAAGGTGTATGAAGAATTACCTCACTGAAATATTGCTGTACATTAACGGCCCCTTTCAAGGCAGGCAAAATTGCAGACCCTAGGAATATACAGTCAACTTTCATGGCATGCATAAATATGATAAAGCACCTAAATTACTGGGAACAGCTGAAGTGTCTTGATTTATACTTTATGCAATGTAGGCAAGAAAGATTCATGATAATAAGCACTTGGAAAATGCTAGAGGGACTAGTCCCAAATCTACAACTGAAAATTGCTACCTACAAAAGCAAAAGACTTGGTAGATAAAACATCCCCTCCACTGAGAAGCAGGGGTGCCACAAGTACACTAAGAGACAACACAATAAGTGTCAGGGGCCCAAGACTGTTCAACTGCCTCCCAGCATACATAAGGGGTATTACCAACAGACCTCTGGCTGTCTTCAAGAAGTTGGACAGGCACCTAAAGTCAGTACCTGACCAGCCAGGATGTGGATCGTACATCAGTTTGCATGCAGCCAGCAGCAACAACCTGGTTGATCAGGCCCTGATCCACCACAATGCCTGGTCATGTACTGGTCCTCAGGTGTGTTGACCCCCAAAAACCTCCTCCAGGTATACTTGCAATTCTTGTGGTTTTGTTTGCTTGTTTTGTTGCTAAATAAGATTCTTGCAAAATACCTTGAACTCAATACCTAATAAAATCCCAAATAACTTACACATATACAAACAATCCACACATAGGAGACTGAAATTCACGACATTTCAGTCCTAATTTTCCAAATAACAAATACAGCTACAAAAATGACCAAAACAATCATGATAAAGTAAATATAAATGCTGTACATACCCTCGTGTTGATTTTGTCTTCTCAGTCAAGTAGCAGACTACTGTATAATAGATTGTTCATTTATGAGTGCAGAAACTAGAAGATATGTGATAATCTGTGGATATATTTCTATTATTTATTTATTTATATAATTACTTTTCTTTCTTTCTTTCAACACACCAGCCGTATCCCACCGAGGCGGGGTGGCCCAAAAGGAAAATCAAAAGCTTCTCCTTTTACATTTAGTAATATATACAGGAGAAGGAGGTTACTAGCCCCTTGCTCCCGGCATTTTAGTCGCCTCTTACTATTATTATTATTACTATTATTACTATTACTCTTATTATTATTATCATTATTATTACTACTATTATTATAAATTATCTGATTAACAAAGTTTTCAAATATCCATCCAATTAAATTTTGATAATTGTTTAAATTCATTAGCAAGTTATTTATAATATAATAATTACAAATTTAATCATCAAAAACTACTTATAATAATCAACTAAATAGCAATTATCAATTATTGTCTAAACTCACAATAAATTATTATAAATTACCACACTGGCTATTTCCTAAAAACATAGTTACCATCACACATACAACAGCTCTCTTCTCAAGAGTACAGATATCGAAGTTCAAATGATCCTGCTAACCACAACATTGCCATCCATCCTTCAGAATGAAGGCACTGTACCTACTTCCCATTCCCAGACTCCAAGTCTGGCTAACAGGTTTCCCTGAATTCCTCCAAATGAACGCTGCAGCAGGCCTACTGGCCCATGCTAGGCAGGTCCAACTCACACCCACTCATGTACCCATTCAACCTATACTTAAAGCTACCCAAAGTTCTTGCCTCCGTGATGCTACCTGGGAATTTAATCCATACATCTGTAGCTCTATTGCTTAATCAGTAATGTACTTCTCTACATCCTTTCTAAATTTAAATTTATACAATTTGAATCCATTGTTTTGAGTCCTGTCTTGGTTAAATTTCTTTCAGCACATTATTTGTATTCCTTTGAAGATACTCTGCTGACACTCCAACAGCACATCTAATCCCAAAATAAACTTCTTTCTACTCACTAATACACACTCAAATGCTGGATGCTCAAGTCCCTACCACTCAATACCTCCTTTACACCCTCCCTGGAAACCTTCTAAGGTATACACCTCCTCCTCCTCCTCCTCCTCCTCCTGTCCATCCTCAGATGCAGATGTACACACCCTTGGTCATATTATTTTGCTCCATCCTTTCTACATAAATAAGCCATCTCAACAATACCTCCACCTTCTCAGTTATACCAACCATTAAGATTTTTATTAAAAATATTAACCTCAAAGGAGTGATAACCCATAAAAGCATGTAAGTGTGGTGTATTCCCATTAGGGTGCTCAGTTGATAAGTTCCTCAGCTCACATACTAAGGGACCAGGAACCATTCCCAGCACTAAGCAGGTACCCAAGTGTAAGTCAACTGTTGTGGGATCACATACTTGGGGGAAATTAACACCCAATGGAAATAAGATCGACAGTCCCCGATGACACACTGACTTAATTGGGTTACCCTTCTTACAGCTTCCTATTTGCTGCAACATTGATACAACAGGCATAACAACTATACAAAAGTATTGGCACTACTATATAATGCTCTAGTACATTCCCTGTTTTCTTCATGCAATCAGTAGAGACCTCAGCTCACAAACTGAGGACTTAAGGTTCGGTCCCTGGACGAGTGTTTAAGATAAGACTTGTTCTGATTTTTAACCCTGGAGGGTTAACCACCCAGGATAAATCTAAGAAAGTCAGTGCGTCATCGAGGACTGTCTGTCTTATTTCCATTGTGATCCTTCGATCTTGTCCACCAGGATGGCACCCACACCAGCTGACTAACACGCAGGTACCTACTTACTGCTAGGTGAACAGGGACAGCAGGTGTAAGAAAACATGCCCAATGTTTCCACCCATGCCGGGGAGGCGAGTGTTGCCTATTAGAGCACGGAACACCACGTTGCTGCCCTTGTTCACCTAACAGTAAGTACCGGGATGTTAGCCAGTTTTTCTGTGCTGCATCCTGGGAAATATGCCAGACTGTCTGATGTCAGTGGCTCTATTGGCTTATGCTGGCTAAGCCCCCGGATTATTAAATCCAAATAAAATATTTTTTTCATACTTTCATACGTCGATTAAATCGCAATATCTGACTTCACTGAGCCATCCTGTGTTGTTGTTATTGTTGGGTTTATCAGGGCCACTGACAGCATAAGCCGTATCGAGCCCGACTTCTCGATGGTACGAGTAACATTTGTTGCCCAAGGCTGGGCGATGTGAAAAAAGGAGCAAAAATTCATTTGTAAACAGAGATAGAAACTTTGAAGTTTCCAATTAGATCCGGTGGACGCCCTTGCCAAGCCCCAGCAGAGAGGGACGCCTACACTCCCACCTGAGTTCAGTAACCGGCTTACCACCAAAGACCAATTTATTTATTTATTTTTTTATTTATTTATTTATTTATTTATTTGAACATGATACAGAGAAGAACAAAAGAATAGAGTTAAATGCAGCATGCCAAAGCCACTTGAATGCATAGCATTACGGGCAGGCTTAAAATTAACTTAAGATTAACTAAGTTTAGTTTAATATGTTTATTATGCACCCCATACCCATCCTGTGGGCGGTAGTCAAAAGATTACAGAGGTACATAATTGGTCCAGGGACTGGACCCCAAAGTTTTGATAGCTGAGCAAGTTACAGAGGTAATGAACTCACAATTTACAAAGGTAATGGACTCCAGGTAGGTCTGGTCACAATCATGACAAGTTAAGGACCCCAATGGAAATAAGTCACTCTGTCTGACTTTTTTGGGTTATCCTAGGTTCTCTACACATATGCTGCTATATATGATAATTCTATGTAACTGTATTTGTGTATACCTGAATAAACTTACTTACTTACTTACTTACTTACTTACAAAGGTATTTACAGATTACAGAGGAATGTTTAGAAATAAAGATACCTAACTGTTGCATATGTGTCTTACCTAACACTAGGTACAAAGGTAATGAGTTCACAAGTTACAAAGGTAATGAATTCTGTAAGAATGGTTACTTACGTTTATACATGGCTACAATCATGAACAAATTATTGTGTAATGAGCAATTCACACTTCCACACCCGGTCACAACTATAGTGAGTTATTGGTGCAAATATTGATTGTTGAGTCACACACACACACACACACACACACACACACACACACACACACACACACACACACACACACACACACAACAGGCCTAGTGTCTAATCGACATGTGCCTAGGACAAAATGGTAACTAACACACACACACACACACACACACACACACACACACACACACACACACACACACACACACACACACACACACACACACACACACACACATAACAGGAAAGGCACTGCAATGGATCAGAGAATATCTGACAGGGAGGCAACAACGAGTCATGGTACGCGACGAGGTGTCAGAGTGGGCGCCTGTGACAAGCGGGGTTCCACAGGGGTCAGTCCTAGGACCTGTGCTGTTCTTGGTATACGTGAACGACATAACGGAAGGGATAGACTCAGAAGTGTCCTTGTTTGCAGACGATGTGAAGTTAATGAGAAGAATCGAATCGGACGAGGATCAGGCAGGACTACAAAGAGATCTGGACAGGCTACAAGCCTGGTCCAGCAACTGGCTCCTTGAATTTAACCCTGCCAAATGCAAAGTCATGATGGCCAAAGACTGTAAACCTCACTCAAGGAAAAAGATCTGGGGGTGAGTATAACACCGAGCATATCTCCTGAGGCGCACATCAATCAGATAACTGCTGCAGCATACGGGCGCCTGGCAAACCTACGGATAGCGTTCCGATACCTCAGTAAGGATTCGTTTAAGACTCTGTACACCATCTACGTCAGGCCCATACTGGAGTATGCAGCACCAGTTTGGAATCCACACCTAGTCAAGCACGTCAAGAAATTAGAGAAAGTGCAAAGGTTTGCAACAAGACTAGTCCCAGAGCTACGGGGATTGTCCTATGAAGAAAGGTTGAGGGAAATCGGCCTGACGACACTGGAGGCCAGGGGGTCAGGGGAGACATGATAACGACATATAAAATACTGCGCGGAATAGACGAGGTGGACAAAGACGGGATGTTCCAGAGATGGGACACAGACACAAGAGGTCACAATTGGAAGTTGAAGACTCAGATGAATCAAAGGGATGTTAGGAAGTATTTCTTCAGTCATAGAGTAGTCAGGCCATGGAATAGCCTAGAAAGTGATGTAGTGGAGGCAGGAACCATACATAGTTTTAAGGCGAGGTATGATAGAGCTCATGGGGCAGGGAGAGAGAGGACCTAGTAGCAATCAGTGAAGAGGCGGGGCCAGGAGCTGTGACTCGACCCCTGCAACCACAAATAGGTGAGTACAAATAGGTGAGTACACACACACACACACACACACACACACACACACACACACACACACACACACACACACACATATAGAACAGGCCTAGTGTCTAATCGGCATGTGCCTAGGACAAAATGGTAACTAACACACACACAGAGGTATGATAAAGCTCACGGTTCAGGGAGAGTGACCTAGTAGCGATTAGTGAAGAGGCGGGGCCAGGAGCTCGGACTCGACCCCCGCAACCTCAACTAGGTGAGTACAACTAGGTGAGTACAAATACAGTAAGGAAAATGCGGTAACATTCATTGACAACTGGGACCTCTTCTATGGCAGAAATGACATGTATGCCAGGGATGGGGTTCACTTATCTAAGTGTGGGGTGGGAGCACTGGCCAACGCAGTGGAGGGAGCTGTTAGGTCTTTAAACTAGGAATAGTTAGTGGTATGGGTTTTGGCGGGAAAATAGTGAAGTCGCAGTGTAGTAATATGAGTACTAGGAGAACTAGTAATAGGCAAAATGAGGTGGATATTGGAAAGCCAGTGGCACTAATTGACAAGGACAGTAATAGGTTTAGTGGAATAACAGAAAGGAGCAGGAAGGGTAAAGAGAGAGGAGGGTCTTTAAGTATTTATTACACAAATAGTCGCAGTGCTAGGAATAAGATGGACGAGTTGAGACTAGTTGCTAGTGCAGGTAACATAGACGTATTTGCCATTACTGAGACGTGGTTTAATTCAAAAAGTCGGGACATGCCTGCAGAATGTCACATTCAGGGTTTTAAATTGTTCCAAGTAGATAGAAGTATCGGGAAGGGGGGTGGGGCGGCACTGTATGTCCGAGATCGCTTGAACTGTTGCATAAAAACGGGTATTAAGTCTGAAGTAACACATACAGAGTCTGTTTGGATAGAATTTTCAGAGGGGCATGAAAAGTTAATTTTAGGTGTGATATACCGTCCCCCAAATTTAGATAGGGACCAGGGGAGACTACTATGGGAGGAAATTGCTAGGGCCACAAGGCACGATAATGTAGTAATTCTAGGAGACTTTAACTTTAGTCATATTGATTGGAATTTCTTGACTGGGAATTTAGAATCATACGACTTCTTAGAAGTAGTTCAGGATTGTTTTTTGAAGCAGTTTGTACAACCCACAAGGGGTAATAAACCCG